CCCGAATTCGAGTAGTTTTGGTATTTTTTATATAATTTTTGGTTTATTGAATCGAGCCGAACAATCAATTGACCAGTTTAAGCTAAGTTTAAAAACTTTAACAAGATCCAAAATATGTTCAAGATTGATTTGTTCACTTCAACAAACCGAACTCAAATAAATTTTCAACAAACTAAACATAAGTCGAGCTTGATCTGTTTGGTTCATTTTTCAACCTAATCCTTATATATCTTTGTTTTCCATCCACAAAACTCAAATCCAACGGGCAGAAAGGAGTGGGCTTGCCCAGTTGATGGGCCTTAGTTTTATTGGTTGGGTCTTATGATGGTGGGCTTGGATGCTTTTTCTCAATTTCAAAGATCAGAAAACCAAACTTACAATTGAATGTTCCATCCCAAGGGGCCCAGAAATAAGCTGCTTTAGACTTCAGAGTTCTTCACCCTCAACCTTTTTATATTATATACATATTAGCGTATGCCCGTGTCTCAAGGCACGGTGTAAATAATTTTAAGATTAAAATGTAGTCATAATTTATACGTATTATGTTGAAATTTATAAAGTTTGTGCTATTTTTTGATGAAGACACTGAAAAAATTTATTGAAATATTTTTCTTCTTAAAGAATTTATAAAACTTTTGCTTGCATTACACGCTCTACAAAACTCAAATAAAATAACAACTCCCCCTAATCTTAATGCAAATTAAGAAACAATCATATAAGATTTAAAGTTATATTGCATATCAAAATATAAAAGGCAGTAAAAAAAAGTGTAAACACTGAACAAAAAACAGAAATTAAAGTCATATTGTCATACACCAAAAGAGTAGGTTAAAACTTTACAAAAAGTGGGTTAAAGCTTTACAAAAGATGCATGCTTTACAAAAGATGTGTCAATAACATGTTATACACCAAAAATTATATTGTCATACACCAAAAAAATGTATGCTTTACAAAAGATGTGTCAATAACATGTCTTCAAATATATGTTTGCCCAAACTTCCTTCTCATTACTTTCCAAAAAGTCTTTGTATCAACTTTTATGTATCCCCAATGAGGAATATGCACAACAATCTGGTAATTGTGAAAACAAAAAAAATATAGATTAGTACATTTGTTGGAAATATACATGTCAAAATATTTTGAGATTGAAATTATCTTATTACATTCCCATCGAAGCAAGCTAGTCGTATTTCTCCTTTTAAGCTCCATAGATTTTTTGGTCCAATCCTACAAAAGTCCAAATTTCAAATTATTATTAAATTGAAATTTAATAAAAAGTTATACAATCAACAGAAATAAATCTACATGGTTACCTTCTAATAAAACGTCATTTAATCTGCATAGAATACTACGGCAACACTTCAGGATAAACAATATTTGTAGTAGAATCCAAACTATCTTTAGGGAGGAGAATAGTTATACGATCAAAGGATGTATATCTAGACAATGTCACATATAATTGCCCATGGCTAAACAGTGATACACGCAAATCAACCCCAACAAATTTCACAGATTGTCCTTGAGATTTATTAATGGTCAAGGCATATGCCAATCGGACTGGAAATTGACTTGTCATTTGGAAAGACATTTCTAAAGAAGATGGTGTCAAAGATATCCTTGGTATGAATGCCAAATTGCCAAACTTTTCTCCAGTTAAAATTTGAGCTTCAATTATGCGAGTACCGCACCTAGTAACCATCAATCTTGTAGCATTACATAGTCCATCTATCGGTGCAATGTTTCTCAACAATATTATAGGACAACCCACTTTCAACTCTAACTTAAAAGTTGGCAACCCAGGAGGATCCAATGAATTTAAATATTCATTAGGATATCTATTTGTAATGGTAGGATCAAGATAAGTATATAATCTCCCTAGAAAAATATTCAACGTAGTAGCATTAATGTCACTGACATCATCGTTATACGCAGATAGAATTGTGCGTTCAGTTAAAAATGTTGGGGTTGACGTCTCTATCATATTCAATTGTGGATAAACTGTAGAGAGTAATTCATTCAAATCTTGACATTTGTGTATTGCTGATGGAAGGTTAACGATTTCTTAAGGATTGGTCCCAATCTAAAAAAAAGTGAAATCAATAAAAAAGTAAGTGTAAACACAATTTATTAATTTAAAATAATCTATATAATACAGGTTAAAGTAGTGTTACCTCCATCAAGAAATTTGAAAAATTAGTATTTTCATGGCTTTCATGATTTAAGCGCATATTCAAATCCAAAGTTAAGATACATATATGCTTCCATAGAACAAAGTGTCTTAATGATGCATTCACAATTTGCTCACGAACTCCTTTGGGTATAACTGGTAAGATTTGTCGAAAGTCTCCACCAAGAACAATAGTAATACCTCCAAATGGCTTTTCACTATCACAAATATCCCTCAATGTACGATCAACTACTTCAACATAATGTCTATGTTGCATAGGAACTTCATCCCAAATTATGAGTTTTGTTTCTCTAAATAACTCATCTTGTAATGATTGTTTGCTAAACCCACAATGTGAATTTTCCAAGACATCTAACGGAATGGAAAATGTTGAATGTGCAATGCGACCTCTTACCAGTAACAATGATGTAATTCCAAGCGAAGCCACAGTAACAACAATATGCCTAAGGCTGCGACATTTTAATGTAATCGTATTGTACAAAAATATTTTCCCTGTTCCAGCACCCCCATTCAGAAAGAAAACAGTTCCTTTATTTTGAAAAACTGAAGAAGTGATTGTATTATAAGCATTCCGTTGTCCATTATTAAGATAATCAATAGTAATTTGTGGATCTGCATGTTGTGCCTCACTCTGCAGTTGTTAATGTTCAAATATTAATCGATTACCAACTACTACACTTCAATTTGTAGTAGGTAGTGGCATGGGTGGGAAGTCAATTAAACTTTTGCCTGATTCATGAAGCATTTGATTCAAAAGATGGAGACCATAATCTTCAATTTGAGCCTCAGTTGGTTTAGAAATGACAAACAATGTACCAATCTTATGTGCAAGATAATCACATATATGTGTTGAAAATTGATTCCATAATGCACATGGATTTAGTGGAGAGCACTGGGTGAGAATAATACTAAACAATCTCCTCAATTGATATCCAGTTTTTATAATTGCAGCCTCTTTTAAGCATTGTATCCATTCTTCATCATCTTCTAAAAGCCCCCTTGCAACACATGCTAATTTAAATGTATCATGCACAACATTATCGACCGTGCGTAAAGACTGAAACGACTTTGGTCCTTTGACAACGGTTAGTAACAAACGTAGATAAAATCTTTCACCATAATTAGGGCTAGCAAAGTACATTCTACCAATTGCATATCCCCTTTTCTCTTGATTTTCATCTCTTTTCTGACTTGAGCCAAACAAAATGTTGTGGAAATTCTTGATAAGTGAATGGACATTCATCATCACTGGCAGCACAATATGCAAAGAAGCCGGTAAGAGTTGACATTTGTTGACCAGCTCTAGATTGAATCGTTTATAATGACTCTTCTGGGTTAAAAACAACGGGATGCATTCTAGGTAAATGAAGTGCCAATCGTACAACTGTTGGCATCTCTGCATACAAAAGATGACCAAATATTCGCCAAGCAGCTTCTGAAGGTCCAATATACCTTGCATCGAGATATTGTTGAATCTCATTTATCATTCCTAACACCATCGTTGTACGATCATAGCCCTTATAAATATACTTATGTATATACTTGACACATCTCATTTCGGCACAAACTTTCACATTTATATGACAGTTGAAAAGTTTTGACAGATATGCATTGTATGGTACGACATCCCTGTTATCAACTTCTTGCCCCCTCACAGTATGTACTTGACCATTATTGCGACGACGATAGATAGGGTATCCATCTTGATCCATAGTTATTGTTTCTGTGAAAGCTTGATGGTATCTCTTAGTACATCTACCATTTTCCATACATGGTGCTTACGGATTTTGAGCACCACATGGTTTATGCACCATACAACATTTGATAGTTTCAAAAAGCATAAAATCATCTTTTGGGTCTGAAAATTCTGCACAGACCAATTTGTCTACTTGAGCACATGTCCGAATTTTGTCTGGACCCTTGAGAAATAAAAGTGCATGCATATGAGGGAGTCCTCGTTTTTGAAATTCAATTGTAAAAACATGTGCAACTTTATTTACAAACACTTTATTTGTTTCTATCTCCTTCATCAAACATTTTCTCTTCAACTCAAAAACACGGGCAATTAAATCAGGACGATCAATAGGTTTTTGATATGGTAATAATGTTAAAGTAATTTCTGACCAATTGGGATTTGCAGTCATGGTAAGAAAAATATCTGGGTGTTGGTTGTATCGTGTGATAGCCATTGAATCTTGAAAGATTTCAAACATATGTCTAGGACTACCAGTAAATGAAGATGACAAAACAAACCTTTGACCAATTTGTCCAAGTCGCACATAATCTGGATCCATATATGACAACTCTTGGTAAAGCTCAGCCCGAAGTTTCCCTTGATTAAGCTTGTAGTATGTCAATCGATTTTGCTCAGTTATAGCCCAAGCATCTACCAAAAACTCTTGAAGTAGTTTCCTACTTCTCAAAATTGTTGAATACTTTGTGGGTCGTTCAAACAAACGATAACTATAAAAATTCATTTGAGTAAGTCGATCAGTTAAAGGTCGATCATACTAAACATTCCACAATTTTAACTCAGGTTCCCATCCAAGCTCACCATATGGAAATAATAGAACATAATGTAATGGCAAGTATGCTGGGTGACATTCATTAATTTGCATCAACTCATTATTTCCTCAGAAATGTAAGATAATATCTCTCATTCCATTTACCTGTGTTCCATCACCTGGTATTACAATTGCAATCCCATCTGTAGTTGGTAGGTTATACCGACACCAATCAGTTGTTGATTACAATGAAGATGAGCAGGTAGATTGTGTCCTGCCGAGTCTAATTGATGTAAAATGGCATGAGCCTAGTGATATTTATCTACAAATGCATTGACTTGCAACAAACTATCTTGAATAGTTTTGAGAACATCCCTTCTCAAGTTAGGATTTCTACGATTACGAATTTCTAGAGCTGAATAAGGGTCATAGATATACAGCTGAGCATAACTCGCATCCTGCCCTAGTTGTGGTTGTAGTGATTCTGTTCGATGTCGCAATTCCCCATGAATTGTGAATGATGTAGGGCCCCTTCCACTGAGTACTCTAGGATCCAATGTAGCACCAAGACTCGTAAAAGCATTGGCTGCATTATACACTCGAGTATAACTTAGAAAGGAGTTTGATTGATCATTATTCCCATCATACAATGCCTGAAGTGGTGGAGGGGGTGTAATAAGTAAATGTAGCCTAATCTTTCTTTCTAAATAGCAAGTTCCGAATAAGGAACGCTTTATAAATGATTTTGTCAATTTTTCATCCATCCAATGTAAGGTTGAACAATAAGGACATAATACATCCATCTTGCCAAGATGACGACGGCAAGAATCTTTGTGTGCCCGGGCATCAATTGATATACTCGTAGGCAGATCTTCTAATTCATCATCAGTACATAGATCTTGTTGAAGAAATCGATTTATAGGAGTAGACCTACGAATATTTGTGTATAAATAAAATTCTGTAAAACAAAATGGTATGAGTAAAAGTATGTATTTCAAGATTAGACATAGTAGTTTACCGATTCCTTGGTGGAGCTATAGATGTGCTTGGCATAGAAAATGAACATGTAGAATGATGGGTAACCATTGTTCGTTTTTGTGCCGAATGAGAATCTTCAGTTATTTTTTCTCACTTCAAACAAGTGCGATCGCGATGAATTGGTGTTAAAGAGCATTGTCTTAGTTGAACACATTCTTCTAATCCCTCTTGTTCTTGTTATAAGCATTGAAATTCAAAGTATGCTTTTCAATTTTTTCACGCTCTCGTCGTGTCCGTTGGGCCAATGCAGCTTTTGATATTACATTATCATTTTGTGCCTAAAATGAAAATATTTTATCATTGAAGCAAAATATGTGAATATTTTGTGCTTAAAATGAAACTATCTTCTTATTTCTTCCATTTCTCTTAATTTTGTTTTCTATTTTATTTATTTTATACATTTAATAGTGTTATCTTTGTTTGTTTCTTTCTTTCTTATTTCTTCCCTTTCTATCTTCTTATTTCTTCCATTTCCCTTTCCCTTTCCCTTTCCCTTTCTTTGTTTTCTATTTTATATATTAAATAAGAATTAAAAACCTATCTTATTTAGTTTCTCATTTCCTTATATATTTTTTCTTTATTTCTTCGTTTCTTTTTTCCTATTCTCTTTATATAAGTAGCAACTTATGGATGGTACATTATAAATGCACATGTATCCATGCAAAATAAAAATAAATAAATTTGAAAAACACATACAAATAATAGCAAGTTACAGGAAAACATATTACAATCATTCTATAAAAACAACATAAAACAATAAATTCATTTTATATACTCATATCTTTTAACTATTCAAAATTTTGATTAGTTTTGCATCATATTTTTAAAAAAGAATATATATCACTTGACATGCATTTGTCATTCTCTTGCCGGAAGGAGCCATCTTTTCTTTTCCTTTACACATTGGGTTGACCTTTTCTTTTTCTTTTGCCTAACAAATATAAATAAATTATTTAAAAGATTAAAAAAATCTTATATAAATAAAATACATACAATGTTTGACTTGATTTTGTATTTACCGCACGAACATGGATAACATTAAGGTCGTGCTCATCACAGATGACCACACCAACGTTTCTAGATGGAGTTGTAGGAGGAGGCCTACAGAAATAGATTGTGAACAAATTAAAATCTATATAATAAAGTGGTAATAGTAAGAGTAAAAAATTCAAGATTGTCTTGGGTAAAAAATTCTTTTTCTTTTACCAATTTGGTGTTAATGAAGGTTGTCTTGAATTAATACATTCCTTCGATCTTTCTCTTTCTCGTTATCGTCGCAGGTGTTGTCCCAATTGGTATGCAGAACATGGCTTTTGATTTTTTTCACGTTCTCGTCGTGCACGTTGGGCCAATGCAGCTTTTGATAACACATTATCATTTTGTGCCTAAAATGAGAATATTATTGTTAGCTATATATTTTGTAAAAGCCAGTTACAATCCGACACGTGGCAGAATAAGGGTATTATTGGAAAATAATTTAAGTCTCCAATCCTGATCGTACACGTGGTGATGATAATTGGTTCTCACATGGTCTGAGCAACATTGGATCAGTAAAGAAACGCAAGGTGACGTGGCTTCAACGGTTACTCATATTCAAATTCAAATAGAGAAGGGAAGCCTAACTGTAAATGGTGGCATAATGGAGCTACTTCTAAGGCAACATGATCAGCGATCATGGAGGAGTAGTTCGACGGTTCGAAGAGCAGTTTGAAGGTCATCTTCGACAAGTATAAATAGCAGAGAGACCCCCAGGAAAAGAGAGGGGACTCAGATCATAGATACCAGTCTTTATTTCATATTTTACTTTCCAGTTTTACATTCCTGTACTTTCAATACCTGCACTTTACATATCTGCACTGCACTTCAATTCATAGGAGTAGTCTCAAGTAGATTCAAGTGGACTGTTGCTGTAAACCTCTTCGAGGCTGAGTTCGGACTATTGTAAGTTTTTCATTTTTATGAAATACTTCCATTGTTCTTCATATTAATTGTTATTTCTCTTAATTTCTCCTAAGTCAAGCCACCAGTAAAAGTCCTCTTCATTGAGGCTGAAAGAACTAAAACACAATCGTCTGGTAATTGGTTGGCAATCACAATTTCTGTAAGGACTGATTGATCCTTGCTGGCATGCTCACATTTACAAAAATACCCTTCGAAAAGCCAAAAAGCCAACAATTATATAAGAAGGTGCATAAAATGTGAAGATTAACTAACTTGCTTCCCTTTCATCACGTATTTTTTCTTCCTTTTAACTAACTTTTCCTTTTCACTTGGTTAAGTTGTTAGTCATATAAGAACCAATGCATGTATTGATGAAATTTAAAAAGGGAGGAAAAAATAATTTGAAAACATATTAAGCACACAAAACTACAAACTCACTATGCACGCACATATTGGTTTAAAAACACTACCCATCTCTTTACAAAATGTACGTTGAAAAAGTAAATACTAGATCATTGGGTACGTAAAATGTGAATATTAGCGTGTAATGTCTTGTACTTTCCTTTTCACTCTTCTTGTTGTTTCTGTTATATTAAAATGCATTTTTTTCTTTTTCTTCTTTCCTTAAGAACTTCTTATAAGAAAAATAAAAATTAAAAAAATTATATTATATAGTTTCATTTTCATCACATATTTGTTCTTTCTTCTTATTTTTCTTTTTCGTTTTCTTCTATTGTATTTTTATTATGCTATGTTGTAGATGCAACATATTGTACAAATGCAACATATTTTTATCATACAAATAGACAAACATATTAAAAATTCAAATTAATGTTCATACAAATGCATTAGCATGTTGTACAAATGCTTACTTTAATATGTTTCAGAAAAACATTTCACATTCAATAAAAAGAATTGAATAAATTTTTGAAAAAGAAACTTTTGAAAAATGTATATATAAAAGAGTATATGACACTATGCAATTCCTAAAAAAATCTATATAATATTCGAAAAAGAAACTTTTAAAAATTGTTGAGAAATCATATCATGAGATGTGCATTTTCCTTTCCTTTGCCATAAGGAATAGCTTTTTTTGTTTCCTTTGATATTGCTTTGTCTTTTTCCTTTGCCTTTGCCTACAAAAAATAAGTAGAATATATTTATAAATTATTTTTAAAACGATAAGAAAATACATGTCCAATGTTCAAGTGACTTTTAGGCTTACCTCATGAATGCGAATAGTATTAAGGTCACGCTCATCGCGAATAGCAACATTAACATTTCTTTTTTGAAGAAATCGAACTTATCCATACAAAAATTTTAGAGTGATAAATAAAACTTTATACACATAAATAAGAAAATTAGTAAAGGGAGGTGATATTACGGTTCGGAGTAAGTCTCCATCCACCTATAAAGTATGAGAAAAAAAAATAATTAGAATAGTGATATTGTCCATAACTGTTGTACTTAAATTTATAAGAGAGGTACTCAAATTTATATGAAGAGAAAAAAAAAAGAAAAAAAACTTACTTGACCAAAAATAGTGATATTGTACATAACTGTTGTACTTCAACCTAAAAATGTTTGGTTGTATAATTTTAGACACAAAGAAACAAAAAAATTAGCAATAATAAAAGTTAACATGGATTTCATTGGCAATGAAATGCTATTTCCAAACTTGTTGCTACCAAATCGAATAATAAAATTCAAAATTTTATTTAAATAAATAACTGCCATGAATAGAAAATACTTAACGGGTTACAATCAAGAGGAGAAGAAATAAATAAAAATATAAACTTCTAAGAAAAAGAAAAAGGCCAACCCAATGTTTAGAATAGATGTATTTTAACAATCACATTAAAATAATAAAATTAAAATCGAAGTACAACAATTGTCCAAATTTGAACTCTTCTCTATTCTAACTGACTTCAATTTTATAGATATGAAATTAAAACCATAATCAAAACCCGTTATAATCATAATCACAAATTTATGCCAAAAAAAATAATTCAACAGATGCCAAAGGCACGTGTCTTCTCTGTTTAGAATGGTACAATTTTTTTTAAATTTTTTTTATAACAAAGTGTTAAATACATTTTTTTGGGTTAAGTTAAATACTCGGTGAATTTTATTCAAAACAAAACGGATTATGTTAAATACTTACGTTAAGTTAAATACTTATAAGTTTAATACATTTTTTTTCATGAAGACAACTAAAGTAATACGCACACATATACATTGACCAGAATTTTTGAAATACAACATAAAATACTATACTCCCTTAAAAAGGTGCCAAAATATATATATATATATATATATATAAACTCTCTTGCCATATTACATATAAATGTTAAAATGCCAAATCTTTCAAATTTTTCTTTTAATTAGGAACTCTAGATATTCACAAAAAAAATTAAATGAAAAATATTTATCATCTGTACATTAGAATCACACAGCAAATAAATATTACATTTGAATGGTACAACTAAATAAATATATTACACAGCAAATAAAATGTTAAATAAATTTTTTTGAGTGTCAATTTAATTTTTTTGTTGCAGGAAGATCAACTAAATAAATCACCCTTACTTTCTTTTTAAATAGCTCCAAATAAACAGTCCCTTCCCCTCTCTCTCTCTCTCTCTCTCTCTCTCTACGTACATTCTTTGCGAAACCCATAATCAAACTCACATTTTCTTAGTCAACCCAGCATTTAGAATAGATGTTCTTTAACAATCACATTAAAATGATAAATTAAAACTGGAGCACAATATAATTATCTAAA